CAGATTATTTGTTTGCCAATCATATGATCATCATTTAGCTAGGAAATCCTAAAGAGTCCACCAAAAGACTCCTATATTTCATAAATGAATTTAGTAAATTTCAGGATACAAAACGAACATACGAAAATCAGTAGCATTTCTGTAAACCAGTAATGACCAAGCTGAGAACCAATTCAAGAAGTTGATTTCACTTACAATAGCTAGGAAAAAAAATTAGGAATATACTTAACCAAGAAGCTGAAAGATCTTTACACAGAGACAGAAAATGAACCTAGAAAACACTGAGAGAGAAATTATGGATGATACAAACAAATTAACAAATATCTCATGCTCATAGATTGGAAGAGGCAATGTCACTGAAATTACCATACTTCCCAAAGCAATCTACACATTCAATGCAATTCCTATCAAAATACCAATGTCATTTTTCACAAAATTAGAAAAAAGAAAAACCCATATGGAACCAAAACAGAACCCAAATAGCCAAAATGATCCTAAGCAAAAAAAAATAGCTGGTGGCATTGCATTATCTGATTTCAAACTATACTACAAGACTATGGAGTAACCAAACAACATGGCACTGGTGTAAAAATAAACACATAGATCAAAGGAAAAGAATAGAGAACCCCCAAATAAAGCCACATATCTGTAGTCAATCTCCAACCCACTAAGAGTAGGTATCAGGAAGAGTTTTCTTTTGAGAATATTCTAGGCAAATCCATAAGTTTTTAGAAACTTCACTATACTTGCATAGTCCTATTCCTAAAGCCCTCCTACATTTTGTACGTTTAGCACAAGTTGTTTGGATTTCTGGCATTACTTCAGTGGGCATATTTTAATTTCCCGAGTAACTTCTCAAAGTGGTTAAAATTCAGTTATTGAAGGTAATATCTACCTAAACTTTACCTAAATTCTCAAACTTGATACAATGTTAATGAAACTATTTTTGAAGTGCATTTCTTTCCACAAAATCATATTTCTGAAGTTCTTTGATATATAGAGGAGGCATTTTTAAAAACTGTAGATCCTTCTAGAAGAAAACAGCTCCAACCATGAAGAGCAATAGACTTGAAATTTGTTCAGCAGGATACAACTTTTTTAAAAGAAGAATGGTTCCCAGATTTTTGTGGGAATCAATTAATAATCAAGGCCAAGTTCAAAATTCCAGTTCATAGAGGAACTTACACGGGAACCTGCTGCTTCAGAGTCTTTGATCGTTGCTTCAATGAAAATTTGATAGGGAGAATTCAGTTTAACTTTGAAGTCAAATTTCAGCACGGTTTTTATAATAATCTCACCCTTAATGCTCTTGAAGGGCTTCTTGCATTTATGTCCTTGTGTTCTAAAGTGACAATCATAACTTTTTAGAAGTTGTATGAATAAAATTGTAAAGACTTATTTAAAAATATATTCCTGATTCTAACTTCATGCAGTTATGAGGTCCAAGCTGGCATCAAATTAATATGAGGATTCAGCAGGGCAGGTGCTGGGAGGGGTAGGAAGACCAGCACCTTGTTCAGCCCTAACCTGAAGCCCTCTCAGAGCACCAGGAAAGAGGGAAGGGGAGAAAGAGAAATCGTGACCAATGGAGGCCCTTCCTGGCACACACAGGACTTTCCACTCTTTCTTCTTTGTTGTTCTTTCCCTCCCAAATCTTGAAGTACCTGAGTAGAAAGATTATTATGTCTCCAAAACATGGTTTGAATCAGCCTATACAAAATTAATGTTATTACTATATTGATTGCCAAATGTTAGCTTAATGCAAGTGTATTAAAACTTCTAAAAGTGAAGCTTAGAACAAATAAGCATTCTGAGTAAATACACAAATAAGGACATGCCAGAGAAGTCAGTGATAATTCACAATAAGGGTAAAACTCTCCAGGAAGGACTGGTGAAACCCACTCTCTTCATCACCACCTGGGATCAACAATCAGAATCTCCTTGGCCCTCTTCAGCACTTGCTCTCCAGAGAGCTTCCACATTCCTGCTACACCTCGTCCTTGGTGTCTTTGCATTTGTCCCTCCTTCCTGTCCCCTCCTCCTACAGGGACTGTGGTGTCCTCCTGACTGCATAGTGTCTCACTGGGTCTTACATCCAGGCTGGTTTCTCATTCAGGGTTTTGAAATTCAGGGGGAAAAATATTTTCCTTTTGTTCAAAGGGTCTTCTCTTGCCTCCTCTGAACCTCACAGTGCTGGCCTAGAATGGGCCTCTACTGCGTCCTCACCTACATCCCTGAGCAGCTTCCTGCGGCTGCCAGAACCTTGGTTTTCTCATCTACATGTGTGAATTTGGATAATAATACCCACTCACTCAGATTGATAGAATAAGAGGGATAATTCACATACACAGAGGTTGATACATTGTAAAGGCTCAATAGGTCAAGAATATTGGGGGTTTTACCAGATTTATTTTTCTAAGCTTTTCTGGCCTCTACCTATAAATTATTGGTATTGTGGAAATCATTTTCTTTGCTTTTTCACAATGGCTTAATTTTTTTCCCTCATGCAAGCTTTTCAACCTCTGGAGTCCTGGGAAGGAAGAAAGATGAGAACCCAAAGACTACTTATAATTCATCATCTTACAGAGTAGACTGGTTCTAAATATCTCTAGGAAAGACAGACTCACCACTTTCATGTGATCTTTTGGGTAGTATTAGAATGTCACAAGAATTGTTCTTAATTGAAACTTGTTATTTAATTGTAGTCCTTGAATTGGGCTAAAGAATTGTATTATTTTAATATTAATTCAAGCTTCCATCAGTGATTTCTAAGTCAAACTGCTTCACTCTCTTCTTAATGTGGCCAAGTTACACACCCTCATGTCAACAATCTCTCATAAGCGAATTTCCTTTTTTTAAAAAAAAAAAAAATTTATAACAAAATTTTTTGAGGCAGAGTCTCACTATGTCACCCTTGGTAGAGTGCTATGGCGTCACAGCTCACAGCAACCTCAGACTCTTGGGCTTAAATGATTCTCTTGCCTCAGCCTCCCAAGTAGCTGTGACTATAGGCGCCTGCCACGATGCCGGGCTATTTTTTTGTTGCAGTTGTTTAGTTGGCCTGGGCCAAGTTCAAACCTGCCACTGTGCTACGGGCGCCGAGCTGTGAATTTCTGATTATATTTCTTTCCCTCTTATTCACTTCTAAAGGACCCAGTGAGGCATATGTATGGGGCATAACTATGAGATAACCCATTTACATCATTCAAAATTATTAGCTCCTAAATCACACTGAGGAAATCTTGGTGAGATTTGGTATCTATAACTTTCATCACCTAACATTTTATTCTTAAGGTGTACTAATGTCTACTGATGATACATTTTAAAAAATTAGCACTAAAAGCACCAATTTGGGGGAGGTAAATAAAATTAGCTTCTATAATACTATTTATTTCTTTATTTATTAAGAGTCTTACTTTGTTGCTCTAGGCCAGAGTGCCTTGGCATCAGCCTAGCTCACAGCAACCTTAACTCCTGAGTTCAAGCAATTCTTCTGCCTTAGCCTCCTGAGCAGCTGGGACTACAGGTGCCTACTACAACACTTGGCTAATTTTTCTATTTTTAGTCTAGATAGCCTTACCCAGGCTGGTCTCAAACTCCTGAACTCAAGCAATCCTCTTGCCTTGGCCTTCCAGAGTGCTAGGATTACAGGTATGAGCTGCCACCCCCAACAACTCTAATACTTTAAGCAAATCCAAAATTAAACTGGAATTCAGTATCAACTTGTTCATTTTGATTCTTTAGCTAAAATAAAACCGAATACTAAGAAAAGCATTATAATTATACAATATTATTCTGGACATGAATCCAGTAAAGAAATGTAAAAATTAAATACTGATAAACAATTCTTATAAAAGTTTCAAAAATATGTGACTATTACGTTTGATATACATATAGCTACACATGTATCCTAATTTATTATTAATGCACATAATTGTCTTCAAACCTATTCATGATTATTTTTCAATGCATATTTTACAGTAGTAGCTACTATTTGGAGGGAAACAGTTGGCTATTTCTGGGACATAGATAAAAGTGTACACACCGTCCTATAGTCTATTTGGTGCTACTAGAATGGAATACCTGAGGCTATTATGAAGAATAGAGATTTATTTCTTCAGTTCTGGAGGCTGAAATTGTAAAGTCAAGGGGCCCATATCATCCTACGGTGGAGGGCAGAAAGGCACAAGTGAATGTGGGAGAGAGCAAGGGAGAGAGCAAGAGAAGACCAACGTCACTTTTAACTGGAACCTACTCTCATGATAATAGCATTAGTCGTTAATAAGGGTAGAGCCCTCATGGCCTAATCACCCCTTAATACCATCACATGGCAATGAGTTTTGGAGGGGACATTCAAGCCACAGCACACCAGATTCAGTGGCATAACAATAAGACGATGAGGATTTTCAATTGCAACTGCCCCTTTCAAGTTTTTCTTGCATTCACTCATGAAGGACTTGTTTTATTGCTTTAATTATTTTATGTGTAAAATAATTTAACACCTCGCTTGACCATTCATGGTAGTTTTCCTTTTTCTTCTTTTCCCCTGTGTCATCACTAGAGTTGTTTATGCTTAATATTTTTATCTTTTTTGTGTCAGTTTCCCAAAGAATATATATTTGTCTGCAATTCCTTGGATTTGGGGGTGGCTAGAATTATTTAGGACAGCTGCATTGGGCATGCTCCAAATCCCATGGAAACTCTCTCTTTAGATCCATTGATAGGTACAAGGAATGTTAAAGGGAACTCACATAGTGAGCAGTTGTACATTTCTGCCTATACATGCATTTCCCATTTCCCTCTGAATTCACGCGATTTATGCTTCTTTCTGATTTATTCATTCATTTTGTTTGCCGTATCACTGCAAAGTAGAAAAGTGAGAGTTTGGGTTTTGAATTGCCTTCCTAATGCTGTAAGTGACAAACAGCTATCTGCTCAAGCCTCATCACTCTTCTCTGGTGTCTGTAGCACCCGTATTCCTGGCGATTTTCTGAGCTTACCTTGTCTGACGGCCAGTGTGGTGGTATAGACCAAGAAGAGCAGAATATAATTGAGGAAACTCTGGAAGACTGGTGTATTGGCATGGAAGTCTTCTGCCAGGTACTTGCTCGTCAAGCCAATTCCACAAATAAGGAGGGATAACACCTGGCCCAGAGCCACAGAGATCAACATCTCCCTGAGAAATAAACGAAAACAGCTAAGATCAGCAGGAAGTCCATTATAACAATGGCCAATAAAATTTATTGAGCAGTGGTAACATGCACCAGGTTAAATGAAATACATACTGTTTCTTTTTTTTTTTTTGCAGTTTTTGGCCAGGGCTGGATTTGAACCCACCACCTCTGGCATATGGGCCTGGCCTCCTACTCCTTTTAATCCCTCCTTGAAATCCTATGAAGGTTTGATTATTACCAAGGTCTTAGAGAGGAGGAAACCAGTGCTTAGAGTGGTTAAGGAATTTGCTCACAGTCACATAACTAGTAAGTGGCAAAACTTACTAGATTTGAGTCCAAATCTCTCCACTTCTAGTGGCTTCTAGCCACTGTACTCTTGGGCCCATGGGAAGAAATGGACATCATCTTAACCCCCACCACAGTATTAACTAAATATTCAGCAATGCTGAAAAACTACCCGAACAGTCACTAGGAGGAAACTATTCTGGCCTCACCCTCAGGTTCTTGTGCTAGTGAAGATAGACTCTTTTCTTTACAGATTGAAATCCTGGATTCAGAAACACTGAGGGAGGGGGAGAGGTGCACAAACCCCTGACAATCCAGAGACCATCTGCTGCCCATTCCCAGACTTTGGATCTCAGTTTTCTCTAGGAAACTGTAACAAGCATTAGGTCTCTGTTCTCTTCTGCTCAAGATACAACTCCTTACACATTAAAACTATGGAGAATTGGGATTGGGGTGGTGTAATGAAATGTTTAAATTATGCAAGTACTTTTTGTGGCTTTTTCATAGGCATTGCTGTTACAGACCTCTGTTATGGGGATTAGTAAGAAGGATCAACGCACGCATTGTGCATACTAGTAAAATGCCCACACAGGCTTTATGTGGCGTCCACACCCATGCCCTGCCACAGGAAACCCCCTGGCAATACAAAGTAGATTTCTCCCCTTCCTGAATGTCTCATATGACTTTTCTGGCTTGTTTATACAAACAGCATATAAAATAAGAAAGCAGCAGTATTTCTTCTTTTATTAGCTTTATTTTATTTCAATTGATACATAACAACTGTACATATGCATTTATGGGACAGGGTGCAATCTTTCAATATCTGTACATTTTGTATAAGGACTAAATCAGGATAATTCCATAACCATCACCTGCAACATTTATCATTTTTTTTGTGGTGAGAACATTCCAAATCTTCTCATCTTGCTATGTTGAAAAATGCAACACATCATTAACCGCCTTGCCCTACTTTGCAATACGAGTAGTATTTCTAAACAAAAAAAGCTTTAGGCAAAAGAATTGCAGTGTTATAGATTTCCTCCTCCATAACAGATGGGAGTCCATTTTTCTGGAAGGAGCACAGAGTCTTGGGCAGTACTTTGGTGGTACTTTGCTTTAAGAAAAGTGTCAGTTATATTTTGTTTAATCCATCTGCTCCCATAAGAGAAAAAATTATGAGAAAGCATTTGGGTCCAAGGAAAATGCTTTTCTAAAGTTAACCTAACTGCCCCTGACCTATGAATTCAATCTCTATAAAGGAGTCAATGACATGATTTAAAACATAGTGTTTAAAAGCTCAATTCGTTGCTTAAAATCCTACCCTAGTTCTATCTAGAATGCAGAGATCTGCAAGGGCTGTGGTAGACAGTTTTCAAAGATGGCCGCCAACATTCTCTTCACATTCCTGCAGCTTCTCCCAAATGGAAGTGGAATCTATTTCTCCTTTTCTGGATGCTGAGCTGTTCTTGTAACTTGCATTTACCAACAGAATGTGAAGGAAGAAAGGTCATGTGACTTCGGGGCCCAGGCCTGAAGAAGCTCTTCAGCTTGTGTTTTTTTTACCCTCATAAAACATTGCTTCTATGTAAAGAAATCAGAGGTGCTCTACTGAACACTGAGAGACCACGTGGGGAGAGAGACGGAAATCCAGACAGTCACCCGGGCCCTGGCTGAAGTGCCTGACATCTGCCGGGGAGGATTTTGGATCCTTCTGCCCTGGTCAAGTTGTGCAGAGCTGAACCATCCCCAGAGATTGCTGCCCAGTTAGAGGATTGTGAGAAATAATAAATGATGTTGTTTTAGGTCATGCACTTGTGAGTGACTTATTCCACAGACACAGATAAGTGGAGGGATGTCCTAAATGTCTCCCTCCACTCCCGCTACCTATGGAGCTTGACCTTCTGCTCCCCCCATTATCCTTCTACGAAGGCAGCGCTTCAGACCGACAGAGCCACTCGCTCTTTAACAGAGAGTCACCGTGTTCGTCGCCTGCACTCCTTTGCACATGTTATTGTTTCCAGAATGCTCACTGTGCCTTTGCCACTGACTCCTATTCATCTTTCCAGATTTGGCTTATATGTCACCTCCTTTGAGACGTGCTTCCTGCCTCCTCCCCGCTGGGATGCGTCTCCTTTATTACTTCTACCTCATTGCATTGTAATTGCTGCTTTTACACTTCTTTCAGCTCTGCCAGACTCTGGAGCTTGTACAGTGTTCACTGTTCACTGCGTCTCTGGCTGGGCAATACCATTCAGAAGAGACAGGAGATGTGGGACCCAAAGGCAGAGTGGATGTGGTCCCAGGCAACAGTTCATTGGAATGGAAAGGTAATTTAAAACAAGAAAGACAGATGTGAAAAGAGGTAACAGAATTAACTCAAAGGTTTTTGAGGCTGCCTAAAAGAAGTGTGATAGCCACTAACAAAATCATGCAACGGAGGTGGGTTTCGTGAAAAGTCAATAAACGCTTTAGGTATATTGAATTTGAGATGCCAGCTGAACTTTCACCTGATCCAGCAGCCTTAGCCACATGGGATCAGGGTTGGAAAGGGAGGTCAACCAGGAGATGAATATGCAGAAATTATACTCCAAAAGTGATGGCTAAAGTACTAGAAATGGATAATATCACCAAGGAAAGGATATTAGGAGAGAAAATAAGAGACCTTGGGAAAAATCCTGGGGGAATCTCAAGGTTGGGATTGGGAGAAAGAGAAGAATCACATCACTGGAGTGAGAATTAGAGGGATAAGAAGACCAGAAGAATACTTGGTGTCAAGGAAACCAAAGGAATAGAGAAGTTCATGCAGGAAGCTGTTGCAATTTTAATGTTGTTTAGACAGTGGAGAGAATGAGAACCAGTAAGAGATGATTTGAAGTCACTGCCAGCCTCAGAAAGATGAGTTGTGCTTGAGTGGAGAGAATCAGAACAACATTGGTGTCACAGAAACCAAAGGAACAGAAAGTTTCATGGAAGGGATAGTTAGTGGTGACTGAATAAATAGGAAGTGATGAGAAAAAAGGGTTTTGAAGAATTCAAGGAATTCATTGAGGAAGTTCGGCCTAGTGACCATGTGAAACAATAACGACAGCTAAAATAATAATGTTAAAATAGTTTAAAAATTAATGCAGAGTAGGTTTATGATTGTTCTATCACTGAATCATTCTTGATTATTTGCACGATAACTTACGTTCTTTTTTGCAGTTTTTGGCCAGGGCTGAGTTTGAACCTGCCACCTCCGGTATATGGGGCTGGCACCCTACTCCTTTGAGCCACAGGCACCACCCATAACTTACGTTCTTAAGTAGAAGAAATATGGGTAGAATTATAGCCCATAAATCAGTCAGTTACTCCTGAAGCTGAGTATTTCCACTAGAGAATGCTGTGTGTGGAGCATGTCTCCTTGGGACATGAAGGCTGAAACTACTGCTGGGACATGAAATTCTACTGCTCTTTAAATTATAGCTGCAGTGTTTTAACTCTGGCAATATTCTGTGCCTTTCCTGAGCCAAATCAAGCCATGATAAATGGCTGGTTACATAAGAGATGTTAGTTTTTCTTATGTATACGTGCCAATATTCTATAAAATAGCCTTCAATATGCCACATACCATACACACAAAAGTGAGTAAGATACAGCCTTTGCCATGGGGAAGTTACCAAACCACGGTTTTTCGAGCTAGATTCCCAAATAACTTAGTAATAAATGGAGCCAGTTAAGGTAACAATAATTCACTTTTAATAAGTCCTTACTATGTGCCGAGCTCTGAGCTTAAATTTATACTTTTTTTTTTTTTTTTTAAGACAGACTCTCTCTCACTCTGGGTCAAGTGCAGTGGTGGCAGCCTAGCTCATTGCAACCTCAAACTTCAGGGTTCAAGTGATCGTCTGGCCTCAACCTCAAGCAACCGCCACAATGGCCACAAATGGCTAATTTTTCTATTTTTAGTAAAGATAGGCTCTTGCTCTTTTTCAGGCTGGTCTCAAATTCCTGAGCTCAAGCAATCTTCCTGCCTCAGCCTCTCAGAGTGCTAGGATTACAGATATGAGCCTCTGTTCCCGGTCGCTCACAATAATCTTACATGGCTGATATTATTACTATTGTTATTGTTCCACTTTATGGATGCTTATGATGCTTAGAAAGGCTAAGGATCCAGCTCAAGGTCATAGAGCTAACAATGAGAGGAGACTATGCTATGTGACTCCAAATCTCGACTTCTTAAATACTATGTACTACACTATACTACCCTTTTGCTTCCCCCAACCCCTGCCAAAATATTCTTCACCCTCATAGAATGCACAGAACATAGAGCCAGAAAGCCAAGTGCCAGGTTTCCAGAAGTATTTTGGAGAAGGTGTAAACAAAAACATGTCAGCCAGACTGGCCCTCTGATGAAAATTCTCGCATCAAGCTAACTGAAATGCAAACCTATTCTTGTTTCTTCAAACACAATGGCAAATCTGCTGTATTCAATTTCTGCTTTTAATTAGTGGCCATGTCATGCGTCTGTTGCTGATGTGATTTGATAGCGAGCACAAATTATGGTTTGATTGGTTATGCTAATGAGCAGGACATGTAAAGCAGGAAGGAAAGGAAGGAACATTTTATCAGATGAGATTACGAGTCCTTTCCCTAATCATAGTTATTGCAGCCTGCACATCTGAGCTAGTTATGAGTTGCCAAAATAAAAGAAATAATAAAAATAGAAATAAATGTGAAT